CCAGTAGAATGGTTCAGTAGCACTTCCAATGAATAATAGCTATAAGGATATAAGAAGTTGGCAGTGGCTGGGTTTTGTTTTCTGATTTTTCCTAGGTTTCATTTTCCATGCTAGAGTTTGTTAAATACCCTTGTTATTTTTAAATAATATTTCTGCTTCATGAATGCCCTGTAAGTTATACTCACTGTCACTTTTAAAGTGTATTTAGTGCCATGGATGGAAAGATGCCATATATGATTCAAACGCAACCAGGTCAGTGATACCTTAATGAAGATACGATGCAAAATTTTATCTGCATCAGATGTCCCTGAAGAAAATCTCTTATGCATGTGGTTTTGCTTCAAGGAGCAGAAGGAAGATGAGGTTGTATCTCATACAACACTTAGTTAATAATTTGGCCTGTGCCAGCATTATAGTAAGGAAAGTAATATTTACCTTACAAAGGGACAAGATGTTATTTTGTGACTTTTCAAAACCAGATCACATTATTTGCTGGATAATTTCAGATTAAAAGAGATTTGTTCTGTATTATCTATCACTGAACTGGTAAGCCTCTCTAAATACTAGGTAGGACATTGGGACTTTTTATTTATGTGCTAACTGGAAAGTCTCCATAATACTGTGTATTTTTTCCACTTACAGAATTTGGATAACTTAAGAGAATATTAAAGGTGTGCTACAGTTTTCTCCATGTGTTTAAGTTTTATAACCAATCAAAAATAGCCAAAGACAGTAAAAATATTTTTTAAAACCCTGTTTCTATAACCCAAAGTTGTACTGCATGATCCCTCGCTGAAAATCAGGCAGTAAATTATAATAGTTAAACAGATTTCAGTGTGTGTTATTTATTATTTCAAATAGTGTTTAATAAATAGTGTTTAATAGTGTTTAATAAACTTGGCAAACAAACCAGCCTTTTCCATGAGATGTGCTAAGGTTTTAAAAGATAGATGAATATACAGTAATAGTATTTCATAATGGTAGCTGAGAAACTAGTGATAAAAGTAAGTTATGTTATCTTTCGAATTATGCCACATACTTTTCATTTACAACTAGTACTATTGACTTGATATTACCGAATAAATAAATTTATGGAGATTTGCAATACAATCTAATATAAAAGTTAGATTTGGCCAAATGACCAACATGGTGTTGATAAAGCATACAATGTTATCAGATTATTATAGCCTAGTCCTTATTTACAGCAGGTAAAGTGATAACTATTTTTTGCAATACTACAGATAACATAAACTACTATTCCTTGCAAGACTAAATTATTACAGTATATTAATTAGGCATGTATTCTTTTCTTGATCAAAAGCTCTTTGTCCAATGAAGGTAGTATGAATGGGAGAAAGAAAGAAAAGCGTTTTTGCAAATACCCTCTTCTTGCTGTTATTTGTCATATATTTCTGATACTACTCTGGAAGAACCTGCTCTACTCTTGAACATGGGGATGTGGGGGGGGGG